TGTTTTGAGCAGGAACAACAAAATAATCCAAAGCCTTTCAAAAATTTTCAACAACCTAGCTGAGCACAAGGAGTTTGAAGGCATAGTCAAAACAACATGGGAGATGAACATGCAAGGATCAACAATAAAAAGAGTCTGGTTGAAGCTTAAAAGACTGAAGAATGGACTGAAGCAACTACATAAAGAGGAGTATATCACAATTCATGAGAAGATTACACTCATAAAGGGGGAGCTACAAAGAATTCAGGTGCAAATAAGAGACCCAAACCATTCAGAGGCTTTGAAGAATGCTGAAAAGGATCTAAAAGAGAAGCTAGAAAAATGGAGTACAATTGAGGATAGTATACTGAAACAGAAGTCCAGGATCCAATGGCTGAGGCTAGGGGTTCAAATTCAACTTTCTTTCATGCTAGTATAAAGAATGGGAATTCTCAAAAGAAAATTACAAAGCTAGTCACCCAAGCAGGTTTGCATACACAGAATCAGGAGGAAGTACAACAGGAAATCATTCAGTTCTATCAGAAACTCTTAGGAACAACTACAGAGGAGATTCCAGCTATTGAACCAGATGTGATGAAGAAAGGAAGCATACTGACAAGTGCACAACAAGCAAAACTGATAAAACCTGTGACAAGGGAGCAGATTGTCCAAGCACTACAAAGCATAGATGATTCCAAAGCCCCAGGGTGTGATGGGTATAATTCACTATTCTTTAAAAAGACACGGGCAATTATAGGGAATGAAATAGTGGAGGCAGTTTAGGATTTTTTTAGAACATCAGAAATGTACAAGCCAATCAATTGCACTATAGTGACCTTAGTTCCTAAAGTACAGAATCCATCAAGAATTTCTGAGTTTAGACCAATATCATGTTGTACTGCCATTTATAAAATCATCTTCAAAATCATAACTAGCAAGCTTCAAAAGGTTATGGACTACTTGGTTGATGATAACCAATCAGCTTTTGTTCCAGGGAGGATAATTTCAGATAACATCATTCTAAGCCATGAGATAGTAAAAGGTTACAACAGGAAGAATATTACTCCAAGATGTTGTTTGAAGATTGATATGAAGAAGGCATATGACTCTGTTGAGTGGTGTTTCTTAGAGCAGATTTTGGATCAATTATGTTTCCCAGAGGTGTTCATTACATGGATCATGAAATTTGTAACTACGGTTTCCTACTCTATACTTATAAATGGTAATCCTATGAAGCCTTTTCTAGCAAAGAAGGGACTGGGACAGGGTGATCCTATGTCCCCTTTTCTGTTTGTTCTAGTATTGGAATACTTCACAAGAGTGTTAAAGGGACTGAAGGAGAACAAGTTTTTCAAATTTCATCCAAAGTGTGCTAAGTTAAACATAGTACAAAATCAGCTTTGCATATGATTTGCTATTGTTTTGCAAAGATATGGAGTCTGTGAAAGCACTTTATGCTCGTTTTCAAATGTTTTCTAAGGTTTCTAGGCTGGAAGCAAATATGGAGAAAGGTAGTGTATACTTTGGAGGAGTGAATCAGAAATTGCAACTTGATATATTGGATCATCTAGGTTTCTTAAAGGGTGAGCTTCCTATAAGATACCTAGGGGTCCCTCTCAGTACAAAAAGGTTATCACTTACTCAGTGTAAGCTACTAATTGATAAGATCATTGACAGGATTATTAGCTGGACATCAAAGTTCTTGTCTTATACAGGGAGATTGCAACTCATTAAAAGTGTTCTCTTCTTAATACAAACTTTCTGGTCTCAAATTTTTACTTTACCAAGGAAGTTGATACAAATGATTGAGAGTGTATGTAAAAGGTTTCTCTGGACAGGAGGTGTTGATGTATCACGTAGGGCACTTATTGATTGGGATAGAATCTGTATGCCTAAAGTAGCAGGGGGGATGAACATTATGGACATCCAACTGTGGAACAAGGCAGCTGTGTGAAAATTGCTGTGGAATATATGCAACAAGAAGGACAAACTATGGGTAAAGTGGATACATTGTTACTATGGGAGGAGAGCTAGTCTGTAGAAGAGCAAACCAATTCAGGCATCGTGGATTGTACAGAAGATACTTAAGGCTGCTGAATATCTGGAAGAAGTGGGGATGCAAGAAGAGGAGCTTAATCAGATGTAGAGCTTCACCATATAGAAGATGTATAAGAAGTTTCAGGGTGAGTACCCAAAATGCTCATGGAGAAGATTAATCTGTAACAACTATGGAGCTCCTAGATGGTTGTTCATATTATACTTAAACCTACATGAAAGGCTGTTAACAAGAGATAGAGTGGCAAAGTGGAGTCTAGTTGATGATCTATCATGTCCATTGTGTACAAGAGAACCAGAAAATGCAGAACATTTATTTTTTAAATGTGGAATGGCATCGGAAATCTGGGATAGCTTATTGGAATGACAAGGAATCCAAAGGAAAGCAAAAGGGTGGTATGAAGAAGTTCAATAGGCAGAGGTGCATGCAAAGGGAAAATCTACAAATTCATGCATATATAGAATCTGTTTGGCAGCATGTGTCTATTACATATGGCATGAAAGGAACTTGAGGATTTTTCAAGGGAAAGCTAGGCAGAAGGAGGCCATTATACGGGTAATAGCACAGGAAATTCATAGTCGTGGAAGTAAATACAAGAAGTTAGATAGGAAGTTACAAGAGATGAAGGAGTATCCTAGACTATGAGTTAGTAGTAGACTATTTGCTATTTTTTTTTGTAATTAGGAGAAACAGAAGAGTATAGGACTTGGGGCATGATGTCCAAGATCCTAATGAACGAGAATTGTAAAGATTATACTTGGTTTGTGAAATAAAATCTTTTACTTACCAAAAAAAATTGGTTAAATTATTGCCTTGTTGCATATAAAGTTTGAAGTTATAATAGATTTGATAAGAACAAATGATTCGCTCGGTCATGTTTAGTGATCGGGTGCCGGTCACGGCTAGTTCAGAAAATGGGTCATGACAAACTTGGTATCAGAGCCACTCTTGTGTCAGCCTTACCGATTGTGGGTCAGAGTTCAACTGAGTTTAGGCAAATCTCGGTTAGGCGGGGCAAACCTCAAATCCCATGCGGTGGGGCAAACCTCAGCGAGGATGCTGAGTCCACACCCCAGACTTTAGACAGAGTTCCACATCAGCAAAACACAAGAGGAATGCTGGGTATATAAGTTAACAAGCCTTACATCCCTAGTGACACGTTTTAAACCCGTGAGGGCCTAAGCCCAGAGCAAATAATATCACTAGCGGGCTGGACTGTTACAATCTGATGGACAGAAAAGATCAAGAAATATTGGTTTTGGATGTTACACCAACTCTACAACTGGAATGACTGTCACTAATATAAGAACTGCCTATTTATAACTTCAATATGTTATTACTATCATTTTTGATGACTAATCTATATGCTTTTATGTCAATTTCAGCCTGATACTTCAGGTGAGAGAGTTGTGTCAAATGGGACTAAGGTTATGAAGGATACTAGTGCAGTCAATATTGATCTTGGTTTTAAACTTCTTGGGCTTGAGTTAAAGGCAGAAATACTATTACTACTTCCCAGCTGCAACAACTAAGTGCAAACAGGAGAAATCAAATTGGATCTTCATCAACTATCTCTTTAGTTGCCATAATGCAAAAGAGCATCCTCAAGAATGTAGTTGTATTAGGATTATGCTATTTTGAGTTCATGTATTTTGCTAAGTATCCATACTTGGATTGATTATTGTGTCTTTTTTGGGTCACTAGTTGATACTATCTTAAGAACTTATATTCAAGCTTTGTTGCATTTCTGTTCAGCTTTTGGAAATATGACTTGTGTTGTATAACACTTTAGTTGTGAATGCAATTTAAATGTTATTGGTAGCCTCAACATTCGTGCTATTTGTTGCTTTTATAACATCAGTTGGTAGCCTCAGCAACCTTTGCATCAGTTGTGAATGCAATTACAAAGCTGGACTGTATAAGTTGGACTATATGTGCTTGGTGAATCTGGAAGATGGTAGGCTGCGATGGATGTTTGTTAAATACTTATCAGTTGAGTTCAATTACAACTTCAACATGTTAGCACTTTGAATTCCATATTTGAACCAGTACATAAAAAAATGACAAAAAATCTCTTCAATTCATTGAAATAAGGCCACATGCCACAATTACATTCACACAAATCACAATAACAACTAAATCTCAACGAATTCAGATGTCTAGTTTATAACTAGTGCTTAAATACTAGTTTAGCCTCAATTAGGATCAATCAAACCTAATAAAATCCTACAAGTAGGGTCTGAGGAGGGTACTGTGTATGCACATCTTATTCCTACCTTGAAAAGGTAGAGATGCTATTTTCGAAAGTCCCTCGGATTCAGAGGAAGAATAGAATCAACTAAGATTCTTTGTTAAAAGATTTTCCTCGTTATTATCTCCACAACAACTAAGCTTCTTGTTTCGTCATTATTATTGATTATTGCTCCATTATTATGAGAGTTACTCTCATTCCCAAGATTTGGAAACAAGTAGTAGCATAATTTGTTGCGTTTTTATTAAGGGGGTGTAAATGGGAAATGGAAGAGACACCTCTTGGATTGCACCTCTTCATCTCACCCTTTTATTGTCCATAAATTTAGAGGTTTGGTCTCATTTTTCATATATGAAAAAATCTAAAAATTTCTCCCCTCTTTTCTATATTGTTGCATTATTTGAAAATTAAATAAGTGTCGAGTGTGATTTGCTCCGTTTGTTGAGTTCGCTGAAATTCTATGATTTGAAGTGCCGCTATTACAGAATAGTTATTCCGTTCTATCCCGGTAGGAATTAGTCTGTATACCTTGAGCAACGGTGAATAGATTAAATTCCTTAAGGACACACTTTGAATTCAGTGGATTCAAAATTATTTTACGCTTTGTTTTGTTGAACTAACATTTGTTTGCTTGTCTGATTTTTTTATTTTGAACACGGTAATACCAACATAATTAAGTAAGAGAATTATCCCACTTAATTAGTGCGAGACAAATACAGTGCCTTTACACTGATAGCAGGACTACCTTCTAATATTCTTCACTCTCATCATTTTCCACGCACCAACAAAAGGTCAAACCAAAAATCAGTTGAAGTTGAACACCAAATCTGCAGTGCCATGGCTTCTATTTCTAAAAGGACAGCAAGTGCTCAGTCCTTTGTCTCTGATCCACTACTTCAAATGCCCAAAATAACACAGATCTGTCTTTTTTTGTTGTTTCCTTACACCCTTTTTGTCTCCTTTTGTTTCTTCCAACAAACCCAAAAACATGTCATTTTCTTGATACTTAGGTTAGCTAGCTTGTTTGAAAAATCAAATCACTAACAAAAGTCCTCAGTGTGGTAATTGTTGATTCCTTTCTTTTTTATCTTCAATTTTTTTGTGGGGTTTCGAAAAAAAAAGAAGTTCAAGATTGGAATTTGTCAGCTGAAAGTTACAACAGAGAAGAATGTTAACATTCTAAATGCTCATAATCTAATTCAAGTTGCTGCAGAACAAGGTGCAAGTCTTATACTTTTGCCTGTGAGTAGCCTTCCCTTCAGTACATCCTTTTAATTTTTAGCTTTAAATATCAATGCTTATTATTGCTATGCTGAGCCTTACCTTAATTTATTACTCCTTCCGTTCAGTTTTATAAAACACTCTTTTTTTTAATCTGTTTACAAAGATTTGAGACATTTCTATATTCGGAAAACTCTTAATTGACATATGCTTATTGTTGCGGAAGCCAAATGTATATAGTGTGAATAAGTCACAACTACTATACCAAAAATTATGACAGCCACCAAATAATAAATAAGACAATAAAGCAACAATAAAGAGAACACCAAAATTTACGAGGTTCGGCTAATTTTGCCTACTCCTCGGACACAACCAATATTTTATTCCACTCCAAAATACAAGTGAAATAATACTAAAGAGAGAAGATACAAATGCCTTAAACAGATGAGAAGGCAAATGAGAGGTGTGTTTCAACTAAACATTAGACCTTCTTTTATAGGGGAAAAATACAAGTGAAATAATACTAAAGAGAGAAGATACAAATGCCTTAAACAGATGAGAAGGCAAATGAGAGGTGTGTTTCAATCCTAAACATTAGGCCTTCTTTTATAGGGGAAAAATCTCCCCCAAACTTAACTCCCAACCAATGTGGGACTTTGGCATTTTGCCAAACTTCAACACTTATGACATGTTTGAGACGACAAGATCAAAGGGTACTTATAAGCTATGCACATAGCTTAATAACAATGTTGGATGTGATGATTTAATGTTCTTTCAACCATTTATTGTAGGAAATGTGGAATTGCCCGTATTCAACTGACATGTTCCCAAAGTTTGCTGAGGACTTCAATGATATAGACAGCGCCCCGTCATTTCTTATGTTATCTGAAGTGGCTTCTTCTTTAGGAGTCACAATTATCGGGGGATCAATTCCGGAAAAGGATGCTGGTCAGCTGTACAATACTTGCGCTGTGTTTGGACCTAAGGGCGAGTTAAAAGCTAAGCACAGGAAAGTAAGCTTCTTTTGATAGTTCTCCAAAAGGTCTTGCGATAGTCAAAGAATGTATATAATGATAAATTTTGGTTTCAGTAAGTAGAAGTTAAAAGAGGTTATTTGAAGAAGAGAGTGGCAAGACGAACTAGAAATGTAATTATGCAATGCCTTTCTGTAGATACATTTGTTTGACATGGGTAAGCCACTTCCAGGAGAAGTTCAATTTAAGGAATCAGACAGCATTTCAGCAGGAGATAAGCCTACAGTTGTTGACACAGGTAGGCAGTTGTTTCAAAATATTAGCAGAAAATGTGCAAATGGCTTCCTATTTGAAACTGTACTTTTACAGGTCTTATAACTGAAAATTTTCAGAATTTATGCAGATTTTGGTTGCATTGGAATAGGAATTTGTCATGATATTCGATTTCCTGAACTGGCAATGTCGTATAGTGCCAGAGGTATGGTGGTTTACATGTTTTATTGTTCTCCTTAATTGCACCATGATGTCTATAAATATCGAGCTTCTTCATATGAGAACCAGGTGCTCATCTAATATGTTACCCTGGAGCATTCAACATGAGTACTGGGGCGGCCCTGTGGGAGCTGGAGCAAAGAACAAGGCAAGTTGATTCTGTCTCGTCTAGTTGTGAATAGATTTTACCAATGAAGGTTTTATGAAGTTTTTTTAGAATATTTTATTAGAGAGCGACCACTGCAGTTGCGACACACTTGTAGAAAGTATACAGAAACTCTGAGAAAAGGCCCTCTCTCTGCCTCCAATTAACCAGAACTTAACACCTCTAGAAAATATTTCCCATGTGTGGATTTCTACTGATTCTTTATCCTCTTCGACAAACGTGGACACCTTAACGCCGTAGATCTTGTATCCTATATTCCTTTTCTAAGTTTATTAAAATGTAATCAATTATGAAAGGGTTGTATAATCTCTATTCCTGGAAATAGGACCTTTTTTAGTAGTACCTTAAGTGTGTTACTCTATACGGAGAATTTTCTTCTAGCAGAAACAATGTGGTTCACTTTGGATATTTCCCTCTGATTCTCTCTTCTTGTCCGCGGTGTAACAAAATTTTCTGTTGTATTCTGATAAGTGATAGCTGCTGCTTCCTTACTGCTAATTCAACTTTGATTTTGCAGGGCAGTAGATAACCAGGTAATACCATGTTGCTTTATAATGATAAACCTCTTTGTCTTGTAATCAAACTGAAAAGACATGTAACTGCATTTGTCGTAGCTTTATGTGGCATCTTGCTCCCCATCTCGAGATTCAGCCAGTAGCTACATAATATGGGGTCACTCTACTTTGGTTGGACCGGTATGTTCAGAAACTGTAATGTAAATCTGCATATAGCTACTTTGGATTACAAAGTTTCTGTATAATGCAATCAAAGAGATCTATCTTTGTTTTTCTGGTGAGCAGATGGGTGAAATAATTGCAACCACAGGGCATGAGGAAGCAGTTCTAGTTGCTGATATTGATTATGCTGCAATTCAACTGGCAAGGTGATGCATCATTTGTTGTAAAAAATGGCTTATTAAAAGATTTTTACCTTTTTTTCACTTTGTTTAAAGCGCGTGCAGGGAAAGCTTCCCTTTAAAGAGCCAGAGGCGCGACGACATCTATCAATTTGTAGACTTGCTTGGATAGAAGTGCTAAGAGGCTTTAAGAGTAGGGCATTTTGATCAGATTGCATATCATGGCCAAATGAAGTTCTGAAATGAGATTCTGCAGGAGTTCTTCATCACCAAGAAAATGCTTTGCTAGTTTTGTTGGCAACCAGTGCTTGTATCTTTTTTTATGCTTATTCCAAGAGGCATTTGTTAACAAGTTTGATAATATTTGGCATTTCATCAAAGATTATTTTGACAAGATTACCAGGGTTTCAATATCTCAATAAAATAGTGGCTTATCATATTGATGGAATACAACATTGCTCTTACAAATTTGAGTCATTGCATGAAGAGAAAATTCCTGGTGATACAAAGACACAGCTAACCTAATCTAATTTCGGATGGTAAAATTGCTCCAAATCGAATAGTAGAGTAAAACTGCTCCAAATCAAATAGTAGAGGGGTAAATTTGACCCAAATTAGTGAAGAAAATTGATAAAGGAGGATAATTGGAATAATAGCGAGCAAATTTGACCCTTTCCCCTTATCTAAAGTTTGCTAGAACGAAAATTTTAAACCTAGAATTCCATGCCTCATCAAGTTAATTTATTGTAATATTGATATCAGACAGTATGATACAAAATGGAGTAGTTGATCTTCATGAAATTGGTGATACATTATAATTTGATGGTTCAAAAACCCCAAGTCAGTAATACACACAAATAACAGCAATCATTCCTACCCCCGGTTAAACGGATAAATAAAAATAAAACTACCACCTTGTAATATAGAAACCAAAAACCAAGACTAGCCACTTATAAGAGCTTCTCATGCTAGACGCATGTCAAGCATTTGACATTAACCCTCTCTGGAGGCTCAGTCACTAGACATCATAATCTGGCAAGGGGCAGCATACCCTGTGCCAAATGAGGACTATCGCCTTTATGAGATAGAAACCACCTGGTGATTCTTTCCTTGATGGAAATCTAAAGTTTGAAGAGTTCTGGAAGATGAGCATTTGTAAGCTTAGTTCTTTTGCTGATCTCGTGCTTCTTCTTCTTGGTTTTGGGCTTCTGGACAATCCCGTGAACTTGGGCCATTGCCCTTCTCTTTGCAGTGTTTGTAGCTGGCTTCATCCCGTTCTTCTGGAGATCCTTTTCAATATCAAGCATGTCACGTGGTAATTCAATACCTCTGAATAGCTGCTTCAAATCATCATCGACCTTAATAGGTACTCGTGGATCATTTGGGAAGGCAATGTCTTCCTGGGAGTCAAAATTTGACAGAAGCCAAATTTGACCAGCACCTTTGAGAGCCTGCAGAAAAAATTCCAATATCAGTACATTGAAAGCAAATACTCAAAAGTAGTTTTTTTTTTAAATACTCAAAAGTAAGGTTGGTATGACAAATGTACCTGAAGGTCCTCCATGACAGTTGGGTATGCATCCTTGAGGTCGATGACAGCAATACCCTCAGGGAATTTTCGTATCAAGATAAGTAGTTGGTCTTTATTCTTCAAGGCATGTTTCGACTGTTGACAAATTATAAGTGAGTTAATGTTATTCAAAAAGAACAAGAGATTCAGAGTTGGTTGCAAATCACTTAAAGACGAGTAACCTTAAAAGAGTCTCCTAGAAGACCTTGCTTTACCTTATAAGAGAACCGATTGCCATCATAATATACTTTGAGATTGTTCCTCAAACTGTCAAACACAGCTTTATTGCCATTTATATCAACATGACATGCTTCATTAATCTGTTCTGGTGTGAAAGCTTGCCTTGTCTGCACGTATGAAAATTAATCAATTATCAAAGTCTAACTATTACTACTAAACAGAACAAGACACAGATTTCCCAATAAGATAAGAAGGCAAGCCACTATACTACTCAGGGCAGAGAATCCAGCAACAGTGGAGAATTAAGCAACATTCTTTGGGCATCACCTTCTCAAATTTGAGAGTTTTAAGTAACACAGAAGAACTCATACCCTAGAATGGACCAAAGAGAAGTTTATTTTCGTTTTATATCTTTTTTCCACGGATGTTAGGTCTGTGTTATTTTGACAGTAATTCTAGGTAGTTACTTCCAGTGGCATCAGGCAAGGAAAAACGAAACAATAGTGTGTAAATTTAATCTCTTGAAGCTATAAGAAGAAACACTGCAGGATATGACGTGTTATGCGGTTGTGCAGTAATACCTGCTAGGAAATACGTCATCCTAAAATCGGTTCACATGATATTTTGTTAATTACTTAGTCCTGCTAAAAGAAGAACGTCATCACCAAATAAATGTAGTTGAAAGGTATTTCAGAAACTCATTTGAGGCATGTATGTTTATGGTTATTCAGCAAATGCAAAAGTTTTTACTTGAAGAAGGGAACATATTTCAACTAACAATGCGACCATCCACATGTAGCTTAAGTAGGTCTTGCAACCAGTACTCAATGGTTGACACTCTAGAAACACTCTAGACATCCCACAATAATAATTCCTCAAAAATAAAAGTCCTCCACTGAAATTGCACTGTTTTTTTCTTTTTTCCTTTTTAGACTTTCTGTTCATTTTCTCCTTTGAATGCCCCAATAAAAGCACATTGGGCTAAATAAGTTGCACCATCCAACATTGCATGAATCCTCAGTGGTAGACCTAGTCATAAATCTAAAGACACTAGCCCCAAGGCTAACAGTTCTAAATCTCAACCACTAAATAAGTTTTGACTATCAGCTAGTAATATCAGTTATGTTGCTCCTTACTTTTAAATCTGTAGGGCACTTAATCCTAAGCTATTTCTCTGTGGGAACGAATTTAGAGGTTCAGCAGTTCTTATGCTTCTTCTTGGTGCTAAATATTAAGTTAAATCAAGTCCATCATAGCTCTCAATTTAGAAGTTAAGAAATAGCTGGACGGGGTTAAGGAAGAATTGAAAAACAATGAGAAGCAAGTGGAGGAAATATACCTCGAGTAGCAAGTCTATGACACGTTTTATCTGAGCCCCCACGGGAGCTTTCCTTATACTATTTATATGCTGAAGCCTTTCCGTGTCATTTGAAAATTTGACTGCAGGTGCAGGAGATTTTGCATTTGCTACCATTGGTCTTGGAGGAGCTGCCTTAGAAGGTCCTGCTCTGGAAGCTATACTACTAAGGGTAGATTGACACTTCTCTTGTTGCTTCTTGAACCTTTGCAAACTTTCTTGAAGTGAAGCCATCTGGTAAACAATAGAACCCAACAACTATTAGAAATTTCTTGCAAGGCAAACACATCGAGAAACCACTGCATAACTGAATGAATGGAAGCATTCTAATAAATACAAATGTTTCTAGAAGTAAAAATTAAGCTCTCCCTCACAACTTGAGGTGTTTTCCGCAACTCGACACAGCTTTATAGAAGTGAATTTGTTAGTCAGAAAGTGGTCAGCTTCTAAAATTCCTCTTCCAAGGACCTTCCCTACTTCTCTGTTTGGGTCATCCAATGATGCATCAACTTATAATTAAGGAACAAATAATCTAATCACTCTTTGCCTTCTCAACATCAAATTAGGAAAATGATAACTTAAGACCCAAAATACAGTGCAACAGAGAAGTAACTTTATCTGCCCCCCGGGCTTAGTTCAAGTGGCAAAGGTTGTGGGACTTGTGACTTAGGGTCACAGGTTCGAGCCCTGCGACATCAAAACTAAGTCTGGTATTTAAGTGGAGACGAGTAGAGGGATGGACCCTTCATCCTAGAGTTTCAAAGGTTGCGGTTGGTCCTAAAGGTTGGCCAGATGAATTTCTTGGTCATAAAAAAAATTTTAAAAAAAAAACTTTATCACTATTTTGCACTCGGGTCTGTCAAAAACACAATGAGAATTCAGTTCATCAACATAGTGAGCAGGCACCTTAATTAGAGACGGACGGATTTCTAAGTTCTCGCAAGATAATTTTTTTTTTCAAAACCATGTCTGATAGATAATCATTATCTATCACTATTTTTCACAGAAAACTTTTAACCCCTGTTAGCTAATGGAAATTCCATTATTCGTATTTGCACTATAAGCCTTACAAGTTAGTATAGCAGCAGGACCATGTATTATTCCTCTTTAGGGCTCCTTCAAATTCAACTCGAAAAGACATGAATAAGCAAGAATACTATATGGGTCTTGGAATTAACTGTAAATTATCACCCTTTAAATCATATCTACTATTTTGTTTCCATAAAACCCAGAATTTTGAATCAGTACGGTCCTCGACTTATATTCTTTTTTATTTTTAGGCCCAAACACAATAATGAATTGATCGCTCGATCAATCAACTACATCTCAATCTCAAACTAGTTGGGGTCGCTTATATGAATCCTCTGCAGCCGTTACGCTCTATATTAAGGCCCAATCACAATAACAAGCACAAAAATTAAGCTTCCAAAAAAAGATAATAAGCACAAAAAGAATTTCGGGCTTAACCTTGGACACGATAAAGAGGAGGAATTCGCCGGAGAAAACGTATGGGAACGCCGGCGGGAATCGACTACGTCGGCAATTAAGAGAGAGCAAGGATTTGGTGATGGGGCTTTGAACAGAAAATCTATTAAACGGGAATTGGGTTAGCTTCGGAGATAATTTATGGAGTAGTTGACACGAAAGAATAGAGAATATCAGTTTGATCCCTTAAAATTGAAAATTGATACCTAAACCCCTTATGTTTAGGATAGAGGTGATACCGAAACCCATTATGTTTAGGAAAGAGGTATTCCCACGTAGGGCTGTTCATTCGTATCGGATATCCAAAATTCGAACCGATCTATTTAATTTTGGATTTTGGATTTAGGATTTCGGATTGGATCGGATTTTGAATTGTATTTATTAAAATTTCGAATTGGTATATTTTAATCCAGTCCGATCCGAAATTATTAGGGCATGTATAAATACTACACTTTAATTTCGGATAATCAGTACTTCCTTTACATCTTCCTCCAAGTTATTACCTTTACAATTGCTAAGATTTACANCTCCAAGTTATTACCTTTACAATTGCTAGATTTAGCTATATTGACACCATAGTACTCTCATAATCGCATAAACATAAATTTTTCTTAATGTATTGCCTCTTTTACAAAGAAAATATACATATTAGTTTGCAACTTTGAGGCATAATAATACAATCCGAAATCCGATCCGATTCAAACTTTAAAATCCGATCCGATTCAATATAATTCGGATCGGATTCGGAATGCAATTTCTAGAATCCGAAATATGCTAAATCCGATCTGATCCGTACACAACCCTAATTCCCACCGTCTCGAAAAGGGTGAGTAAATTTGGACATACATTCATTAATATTTGTTGGAAAATAAAATCTATTTATGTAAAGAGAACTACCTAAATGGTACTTTGAAGTTTGAATCATAAGTATTATTTGTACTCAAATATTTAGAATATGTTAGAACTTTAGAACACAGACAAATTGGACAAACGAAATAGCCTCTTCATTTTGGTCAAAGAATATTCGACATACATATTCCCAGGAATAACTCGTTGGCCAATAGAAGATTGAGTCAAGGAAAAAATATATATTTATACTTCGCCATTCGCAGATCAATAAATATAAGACGTACGTTTTGTATATAATTTTTTATCACTTAATTATAGTTAAGTAACAAATACTTTTACTTTACTTTGTAATATTTGATAAAATTAAATTATTTTATTTGATGTAAACGTGATTTAACCGCGGAGATAGTTCGATGGAAAAGAAATAAATTCGATGGCAATATCATATATTCAAATTATAATGTGTACATTTGTCGCGACCCAAACCAATGGGCCACGACGGGCACCTGGTGCCTTACTCAACCGAGTACCAACGTAACGTATCTTTCGTATCATTCTATCATAGGTAAATGAATCAGAAAGGTTGTCATGAGATAACTAGAATGAAGCATGAGGAAATTCTCGACATAGGATGAGCCAACATGATATACCGACTTATACATATGAAGTACGTGCCTATAAGGCCGGCATGATCCTTTATATACTCAAGGCCATACAAGTGTCTGTATACATGTCATCTATGTACAAGCCTCTAAGAGTAGATAAATATCATAAAGGTCGGGACAGGGCACCACCATACCAATTAATACATGTCCAAATCATACTGACCAAATAGGCAACTCTGGAGCAAATGGAGTGCACCAACACCTTCCGTTGAGTTGATAACTTATTTGGAGGACTCTCAACCTATCTATCGGGACCTGTGGGCATGAAACGCAGCGTCCCCAAGCAAAAGGGACATCAGTACAAATATAGTACCGAGTATGTAAGGAATAAACATCAGTGAATAAAAGTCATGAGAGAAACATGGAGTAAAAGACTCAACATGTAAGTCTGAATAGCTTTGTGAATCATTTAATATTTATAATGTCATGCATATGCGTACAAATGTCATACCATGCATAGGTATATACGTACATAACATCATCAAGCCTCTGAGGGCATCCCATCATATCATCTCGGCCACTGTGGGCAAAATTATCAGCGTATACCAGCTGATCAGGTGGTGGTGCTTATATAACGCTGTAATCTTTTCCCATATCCCATATACATATAATATATGCGTATATAACGACATCCGGTCATGTGTCAATGTACATGTATACATGAATGAAATGCATAAGAAGTACGTTAATAAGATTTCTTCGAATGTCATAAGATCAATATGCCTTTGATTAATATCATGAATAAATTTTATCAACTTACGTATTTTCTGAGACCCATGAACAGATGATAGAATAATAGGACACACGGGGAATAAAAAACATAGACACTTCTAGTACTTCTATGAATAGAGTCATTTATGAAAGTTGTGCATTTGCTCGTTTCGTTTGTATCGCATGAATCATGCCAAAAGGAAAGAAGGGATAGCCTTAACATACCTAAGCCGATTCTCTTGAAAATCCCTCTAACACATGTCAATCGCGATAAAACACGTAACAGCGAGCTCGAAATAAGAAAAAATCTATATGATATTCTTGAGACAGATTGTAGGGGACTCCCTTAAAATTTGCAAATCACGCTGCTATAGCATTGTAAAGGTTCATACCAATTCCTTTTGACAATTCCATCTGTTACTTTGTAGTCACAAGCATCTCAGTTTTTTATTTAGAGAGGCCTTTTATATTAATGGGTATGGCCCCACTTATGTGGCTTAGTTGGCCAAAGAATTTCCTAATTAGGCCACCTATCTCATGAACCAAAGTGTCACCGCTTTAAGGTTCGTCAAACTTTATCCAAAGATTTGAATTAATTATTTAATGTTGGGAAAAAATAATAATCCCGCCCAGGAATAATATCCACAACAAATAATAATAACATAAGAGAGTAATAATGACACCAAATATTCTAGTGGGGTAAAATACAATATTCGAGCGAAGCAATATTACCACTATAATATTACAACTCAGTAATGCCAAGAAACTACTACATCTTTGAAACTAATAACACTCTTTATTTAAAATACATTACTACAATATTACTACCACCCACTAGTTATCTCACAGACAACAATCTATGGATTACTCTCACTGCATTCTGCTTCTCTCGTTATTTGGGTATGTATCAAAGGAGAAATGAAACCTGCTATTTATAGAAAATTATATTGCCATTGGTCAAAACATATTTTGTGACTTGTTGCAATTTGGCAACTTTTTCCATCCGCCCAAATTGAAAATTTTGTTCAGCCACCCAATTTGACATTTTTCATTTTTTTCTTTGTTTCCTTTTTTATGGATCCTACAAATCTTTCCCTTAATTTTGATTTTTCTTCTTCATTCCAAGTCTTGATCTCAATCTTTGAAAATCTTCAAACTTGAGAGCCTTTGTGAAGATATCTGCAACTTGATCATGAGACTTCACATATTTGAGCTCGACTTTCTTCTTGGCAATGCATTCTCTGATGAAGTGATACCTTGTATCTATATGCTTGCTTCGATCATGATACACTGGATTCTTCGTGAGTACCTGTGCTGATTTGTTATCAATACAAATCTATGTAGCTTCCATTTGTGGCAAATTGAGCTCCTTTAATAATCTCCTTAGCCAAATAGCATGACAGGTACATGATGTTGCTGCTATATAGTCGGCTTCACAAGTCGAGAGAGTAACAATAGACTGTTTCTTTAAACTCTAAGAAATAACATAATCATCTAAGAAAATACAAAACTAGTTGTACTTTTTCTATCATCAATATCTCCCGCATAATCACTATCACAAAATCCCACAAGGTTGAAATTATTAGAAGAAGAATAAAATAATCCAAAATCGATCGAACCTTTTAGGTAACGAAGAATTCTTCTAGTAACCTTCAAGTGAGTAGAGGTAGGAGCCTTCATGAAGCGACTTACTACTTCAACTGCAAAAAGTATATCTGGCCTGGTACAAATCAATTACCTCAAACTTCCCACAAGACTTTTGAAGAATGTAGGATCCACTTTTTCTCCTTCATCAAACTTGGACAATTGTGTCCCACTTTTCATCGGTGTGTTCACGGGGTTGCAATCGAGCCTATTGAACTTATTCAATATCTCTTTTGTATAGCTTTCTTGAGAGCTAAAAATTCCATCCTCTATCTGCTTCACTTCTAGGCCCAAGTAATATGACATGGGCCCTACGTTTGTCATCTCAAATTCACAGGACATATCTTTCTTGAAAGCTTCAAACAAACTTGGGTTATTACCCGTAAAAATAAGATCATCAACATAAAGACAAACAAGTAAGATAACTCCATTAGTATGAACTTTAAGGTAAATAGCATATTCATGGAGACAACGAGTAAACCCATTGTCTTGAAAATACTTGTCGATGCAACTATTCCATGCTCGTGGGGCTTGCTTTAATCCATATAAAGCTTTCTTCAACCGCAACACTTTATCTTCATGATTTTTGACCACGAAGCCCAATGACTGTTCAACATAGACTTCTTCTTCAAGATAGCCATTCAAGAAGGCTGACTTGACATCTAGTTGATGAATCTTCCACTTCATTTGTGCCGCCAAAGAGATCAATAACGAATCGTCTCCATACGGGCAATATAGACTTCTTCATAGTCGATGTCTTGCCTTTGCTTGTAGCCTTTAGCCACAAGTCGTGTCTTATATCTCTCCACATCTCCATTAGCATTCTTCTTTGTCTTGTATACCCATTTCACTCTAATTGCTCGATGACCCTTGGGAAGAGTTATTAACTCCCAAGTGTTGTTCTTCTCTATTGACTCGATCTCCTCCTTCATGGCTTGTCTCCACCTGTTATCTGCAACAGCTTCATCAAAGTTCATTGGTTCACTGTCATCAAAGAGACAATATAAAGAATCAAAATTAGTCACTTCTTCTGTGTCCTCATAGAGCTCTTGAACACTCCTTGTCCTTTGCGGCTGGCTGTTCATTTGAACTTTCTTGAGAAGAGGGAGATGCAACATTGGTTGGAGAAGGAGGTGGAGTTGTATCTTGCACAGGTTCCACGATTTCTGGTTCTTCTTCATCACCAAAGTATGGAAGAAAATCATATGAACTTTCTTCCTGAGCTTCCCAGTTCCATGCCAATTCTTCATCA